TAGCTTTTTTAGTTTATTTGTAACCTAAAACATAAAGAATTCTGTTTTAAAAAGCAACATGTATGTGTGTGTGTGCATGAGTTTGCACGTGCATGCATGTCTGTGTGTGTGCGGTGTCTGACACACTGTGCAGTATTTTGGGCTGGACAGATGACAGTCAGACAGAAGCAGCTGTTGTTCGGTTCACTGATCTGGGCTCTTCAGCTTCCTGTCCAGAACACCTCCACTTCCTGCTGCTGACGCTCCAATCTCAGCTTTCATGCAGATATCATATTTCATCTATATTTAGAGCCTTGCTGTCGCTGACTGACTGTCACGAGTGCCTGTCGCAACGGTGTGTGTGTGTGTGTACTTCATATCCCTTACATTGTGTGTATGTTTGTCTGTATGTTTGTATGTGTTTATGCATTTTTATGTGTGTGTGTGTGTGCGCGTGTGTGTATGTGTGTGTGTGTGTGTATGTGTGTGTGTGTGTGTGTGTGTGTGTGCGTGTGTGTGTGTGCGTGTGTGTGTGCGTGTGTGCGTTAATGAGCATATGTTCATGTTAGTGTATGTATACTTTATGTCCCCTACACTGTGGAGACCAAAAGTCCCCACAAGTATAACAATACCAGTACATTTTGACCTTGTGTGTACATTTGTCGGTCCCCATGAGGAAAACAGCACATAAATCATCCAGAATGAAGGATTTTAAAAGTAATGTAAATGTAAAAGTGCAGATTGTTTGCTTTGAGAGTTGGGTTCAGGGGTAAGTGGAGAGAATACACAGTCTGTACAGTCGAAACAGCCTTACAGCTATGAGAAGTCCCCATTAAGATAGCTGTACAAGTGTGTGTATGACATCAAAACAAACCAATTCTATAATTCACCAAATATATATATATATATATATTGCACTGTCCTCCAGTGTGCATTTGTGCTCCTGTAATCCAGTGGGTTTGCTGGTTCTCTGGTCAGAGCATAATCAGATTATGTGTGACCCGAGTGCTGGTTAATCTCAGCAGAGTAATCTGGACAGAAACACACAGATCCTTCATTCACACACACACAAAGCCTTTCAAACACAACAGGCAGACGCATGCATCGAGTCTGCTTCGGCCTTTACACACAGTTATACAAGGAACAACAGCAATGTGATAAAAACACCCTAGCAACTGCACTGCAACGTGATAACTCCCCCAGCACACCCTAGCAACAGCAGCAATGTCATAAAAAACACCTTATCAACTGCACTGCAACATGATAACTACCCCCAGCACACCCTAGCAACAGAATAGCAATGTGATAAAAACACCCTATCAACTGCACTGCAATGTGATAACTACCCCCAGCACACCCTAGCAACAGCATAGCAATGTGATAAAAAACACCCTATTAAATGCACTGCGACATGATAACTACACCCAGCACAGCCTAGCAACAGCATAGCAATGTGATAAAAACAATTTATCAACTGCACTGCAACATGATACCTACCAACAGCACACCCTAGCAACAGTAAAGCAATGTGATAAAAAAACACCCAAGCAACTGCATTGCAACCTGATAACTACCACCAGCACACCCTAGCAACAGCAGCAATGTCATAAAAAACACCCTAGCAACTGCACTGCAACAAGATAACTACACCCAGGACATCCTAGCAACAGCATAGCAAAGCAATAAAACAGCCAGAATACCCTAGCAACTGCACAATAACATAATAGAAATACCCAGAACATCCTGGCAACAGCATAGCAATGTGATAAAACAAGCAGAAAACCCTAGCGCTTGTATAGCAACATTATAGAAGCACCCAGAACACCATAGCAACCACATAGCAACATGATAGAAACACTTAGAACACCCTAGCAACTACATAGCAACATGATATTAACACCCAGAACACCCTAGCAACCACATAGCAACATGATAGAAACACCCAGAACACCCTAGCAACCACATAGCAGCATGACAGAAACACCCTGGCAACAGAATAGGAACATCCAGAACATCCAAGCAACTGCAGTGCATTGTGACAAAAAAAAACAACCACCAGAAAACCTTAGCAACAGCATGACAATGTGATAAAACAACCAGAAACGTTAGTGCCAGCATAGCAACATGATAGAAGCACTCAGAACACCCTAGCAGCCACATAGCAACATGACAGAAAAAACCCAGAACACCTTAGCAACCACATAGCAACATGACAGAAACACCCTGGCAACGGGCTTTGAACATCCAGAACACCCTAGCAAATGCTTTGCAGTGTGATATAAAACAATCAGAACACCTTAGCAACAGCATGACAGAAACACTTAGAACACCCTAGCAACAGATTAGCAATGTGATAAAACAACGGAACACCCAAGTGTTTGCATTGAAACATGATAGAAACACCCAAAACACCTTAGCAATACAATAGCAAAGTGATGCAAAGCTCTTTGTATTATTATTATTATTATTATTATTATTATTATCATTATTATTTGTCCAATATATGACACGCTTTCCTTTG